CGTCAAAAATACTGCCAAAAAGGCAATAGTAACAGTGCGTTTGACACAGATGACTCGAAATTCATATGTATTTTGAGCAACGGTACCGTATTTATGTTACTTTCGTAACATTCCACATATAATGTATAGGTTTTTGAATCGACGTATAAAACGGTTGAAGAGCAGACAGAATACATCGAAGAATGGGGACATCCAAAAGAAAAAAAAGAAAAAAAAGAAAAAAATGTCACAGAGCGTCTGGCCATTGCCCGTATAATTTGAATCCAACGATTCGAACTCTTGCTTACTGCAGATGACCGACCGGACAGAGCTCAACTAGTTGCTACGAGCATCGGATAGCACAAATCAGGAAGGACGAGATCTATCTACTGCTTCTTGCTTTGTGGCAAGCCTCAATCGACGAGCTTTGCATCGGCTGATCGCGTCAAAGCCTCTGTAATCATATGAAGAGAGATAGCCAATAGATTGAACCTGCAACAAGCGATTCATTTTAGTAGTCCAACGTCCAACACATAGGTCGGAATCCTGTCGGTTCGACAATGGCGACGACCAACAAAAACAATGGCAATGGAAAGCGACTTGGCGACTTGCCGAAGGAAGATGAGATTGAATTGGCGACTCAGGAAGCTCAACAATGCATTGACGCTGTGGAACGGGAAGGCTTTCAGTTGGATGGATTCAATCTGCTCGGTGTGGTTGCCAACCCTCTTCATGGAATGTCACCACAATCCTTGCATGGACGAGCTAGCATCCACGCTGCTGCAATGAGAGAAGAAGAAGAGGGAGATACAGATGTTATAACGGACGCTTTCAATAGCTTGGGAAAAACAATGTCCCAAGTGACAGAACAGATAGATACGTTCAACATATTCCTGGAAGAATTATCGAAGGAATATTTGGGAGACGATAGTGGGGAGTCATTGTTCCTTGAATACTATTATCAGGATGGAGACGAAGAAGAAGTTCCTACGCCATTTGAACTATCGAACACATCGCTAGCTGGAGTCGAACAGTACATCGGCAAGAGCGGGGATCTAGCAACGTCATTGTTCTCCTTAGGATTGGAGACAAGGAGCTCCATGGGCGAAGATGCCGAAAAGAGCCTCGATGAAACCCCAGCAGTTTTCTCAAAGATTGATTTTGATTTAACCGATCCAAAAATCTTTCTTCCGCTATTGCTGGAGGAGAAGCAAGCAGAAGATCCCAAAACCTCAATACAAACAGGAGGCACGAGTTCATTGTACCAACCTACAAATGAACTATTACCCCTTAAAGACCCTGATTGTTGCGCTGGATATTTGGATCGCGTAGAGTTAGCGTTACAAGAGCAAGTTCGGCAAAAGGCAGGGGCCTTCTTCCAAGAAACAACCAGATTCCAACAACTACAGGTATCCATTGAGCAAATGTTGCAACAAGTGCAATTGCTGAGAAAGTACATACAACAAATTTCCAGCGTTTACAGACAAACGAACGACATTTCCAGTCATCAACGCCAGAATTACGAAGAATTTGTTGCTCTGATGGATTCTGCCATGGATTTGATCCGTTGTAAGGCGTCAATTGGAGGGCTTCTTTCCGCAAATGATTATTTGGGAGCTGCAGAGCAGATTCAATACGGCAGAGCGCTGCTAAATGGCGAGGTTCCAAATGATGAAGATATGGCTGAGGGTGAAGGAATTGTAGAGTTGCGGCAGCTTTCGGCTCTCTCTACCTGCGGAGATCAATTCCAGCAATATGAAAACCTTGTGATTCAGAACTTATCAGAAGAATTGGTGGATGCATGTTTCAACTGGCGTGCAGATGATAAGGAAAGGGTGAAGGAAGTTGTAAAGGCGCTGAAGCTCTGCAAGGCGATGTCAACCACGGGCGATATCTATCAAAGAAGATTACAACAAACAATCCGAATGACTGTGCGAACAACTATTGCAGAGTTTGTGGAGTCGACCGGCGCTGGTGGCTCCGGTGTAACAGGCATGACATATCCAGTATTTTATGACTGCTTAGAGTTGTTGATCGAAGAAATTCAGGCCGTCCTCAGAACGGCCCGTAGTGTGGATCAATTCTTTTCAACGGAAGGTATCTTTGAAGATGAAGAGAAGCGATGGACAAGTGATGCACTTACAACAGGAGCAGATTTGGCTGCAAAATCGATTGCCGAATTACTACGCTTAAGAAAGGAAGCACATTCGTTATTAAGTCTCGATTCGATGAAGCAGCTTTGGGACACTTGCATGGAATTCACCACTTCCATTGAAAGCTTTGGGAATGGGACAAAGGCTGTTGGGTTGAGATCAACTCTATCTGGCCAAGCAAAGGCTTTCTTGGATAGAACACACGAATCCAATATGTCGTCTCTTGTCCATGCGTTGGATTCGGAACGATGGATGCAATGTGAGGTAAGCACCCGTCGACTGTGGTGACGAAATAGGTTGCAAATTTCTCTTCCTCATCAATTTCGTGACTACAGGTTTCAGCAGAGCGGCAAACAGCTCTTACCCGACTTTGCACGGGCCGAATCATGGGATCGCAATCAACAAGATGGACGCAGGTGAATGGCGAGAATGGTGTCGTTCCTTCTGAAAAGAAGCCAATTGCAGAAGTGGAGGGAACAGACTACAAGGTTGTCTGGTCTTGCCTGTTGTTGGTAGAGATGGTCATGACAAACTTGCACGCATCGGCACATTTTCAATCGCTTGCCTCAACAGCCGTAACAAAGGTCGTAGAGTTGCTTAGGCTTTTCAACACTAGGGCAACGCATCTGGTGTTGGGAGCTGGTGCTATTCATTCGGCTGCTAGGCTGAAATCTATCAACGCTAAGCACCTATCAATGGTGACACAATGCTTGGGAATGATGCTTGCAATATTACCGCATATTCGAGCTGCCCTAATGGCTCAACTAGCTACCAAACAGCACGCACTGCTTTCTGACTTGGACCGGATAAAGAAGGACTATGTGGACCACAACGAAAAGGTCTTGAACAAGTTTGTGACCATCATTGGTGGTATCGTTGAACATGGTTTGGCACCGAAGCTACCCAGCATCAACTTTGATGTTCGAGCTAGGGATCTTAAGTCTGAAGGGGCTACCACGAAGTGTTGCGTCTTTCTCGATGGGATATCAACCAATACTCGGAAGATGCATCAAGTGCTGAATGTTTTGCTGCCACCTGATCATCTGCAAGATGTTTTTTCTCGTATTTTCGCTTTCGTTGATCAAAAGGTGCCAACTCTTTTCATTGAAGCTGCTTCCACGGATAGAGCTGCGAATGGATCACATGTCTTCGAATTTCCGCAAACTGATGAAGGGAAATTGAGGATGATTACGGAGGTGGAGTACACAACAAAGAAATTGAACTCACTTTCTGGTGTAATCCCATGGGATTTTACAGCCATGGGCGTGCTGGAAAGAAAACTAGATTTCAAAGTATCATCAAAGGAAAACAAGGAAGATACCTTGAAGCACGATGGTGCACTGCAGATCACAAAGGAAAACGAAACGGCTGCATCGAATGGAGAAAATGAATTGAACACAATTTCCGAGATGCAGGAAAACATTGCTGAAAACACGGACGAAAACAGAGTCTCTGAGACACCAGATTTGAACGATTCTGAGCAACCAACAGAAACTTTCGACAGTAAGGCCCTAGAGGAGCCAATCAAGGACGGAAAAATCACAGATGGCAGAACTGATTGAGGTCAGTTTTGAAGAGAATAGAGAAAATTCGCATGGTTTCTTGAGATGAGATAAACGCTGTCCTTCTTCACAGAATCATTTTCAATCTTCGGCCTGGAGTCCCATGGTCCAGGTGAAACACAGTGTTGTCATGCTAGAGATAGAGGGCGACGAGAGCAGCATTCGAATGGTTCAAAATTGTCGGTAGCTCTAATTTTCTCTAATATACGCTAAGCACTCTATGCAGCCTTTCCCTTGCCTTCTTGCAATGCATGGCTCAACAAATCAACGTTCGCCAAACCTTCTCTGGTGTACATGTCACTCTTCCATTCTGCACCCATGGCTCTGCCTCCACCTTCCCAGAGCTTTACGACATGTTCCATTCCATGGAAGTTTTCGTCGTAGATTCTGCGGTAGTACAACTCTTCCTTTGTCTGCGGTGTGTTGATGGGGTAAGTGATGTGAGCTTCGGCCATTTCTGCATCAGAGACTAGCGAAGAAACACGTCGTTGCAAGATTGAAACCCAATCTTCACCAACACCTTCGCACTGCATAGCCTTTGCTCTCCACAAAATTGGTCGAGGGATGGAGCTGCCATTGCTGTTGGGGCCCTCGAACAACTCACGCAAGAATGTTTTTTCACGGCCTCGGGAGTTTGACTTGACAGCCTCTCGGTCAACAATCTTCTTGGCGGGGTCGACGCTCATAACAAGTCGAGTAAACTCAGTGTCAAGAAATGGCACTCGAGCTTCCAAGCCATGAGCCATTGTCATTCGGTCGGTTCGGTGCAGGTTCACATTTCCGAGCATTCCGTAGATTCTGCGAAGCTCGTTTTGGAGTTGTCGTGGATTCTCGGCATCTTGAAAGTATAGGTATCCGGCAAATATCTCATCAGCTCCTTCGCCTGTTAATACCATCTTGACGTCTTGTGCGGCTCTTTCGGCGAGCAACCAGTTAGGGATAGCACTTCGGATCAACTCAGCTTCGTAGGTTTCCATGTGGTAGATGATCTTGGGAACAAGATCGAAAACTTCATCGGGTGTGAACGATCGAATATGGTGCTCAACATGCTTTTCACCACCAAGGGCATCGACCATGCCGCGTGCAGCCATTAAATCTGGACTATTTTCCATTCCCACAGTGTATGCTGGGATTGGGCGATCATCACCGAGCTTCGCCCTTTCTTCTCGCCACAAAGGCAAGAGGTCATGAGACACGATGCACGAGTCGACGCCACCAGATAAGAAGAAGCCATAGTCAACGTCAGACATCATGCGCTTTTGGACAGCCTTCGTGAAACCTTCTCGGATTTCATCGTCGGTAACAGTATGGTTGGGATCTTCCCATGGTGCATAGTCGTCGTTTCGAAGCCACTCAGGATTATAGTAGCAGACTAGACCTTCTTCTGGAGTCCAGTAGTGTCCTGGGGGAATAGCAACAACAGTGCTGGGATCGACGTGTCCAACAAGGGCCTTGAGCTCACTTGAGAAAACGTATGCTGCAGCATCGTCACTACTATTTGAGCATTTGGTTCTTCCGTAGTACAAAGGCTTGATTCCGACAGGGTCTCTTGCAGCAAATGCCTTGACTTCACCTGTTACGACATCCTCTTCAAAAACAACAAATGCAAACATACCATCAAGGCTGGCAGCTGTCTTGGGCCCACCCCATTGCGCAAAAGCGTGAGCAATAACCTCGCAGTCGGAGCCAGAGATACGATCATGATTCCAACCTTCCTTGGCGACAAGATCCTTGTATACAAGATTATGGTTGTAAATTTCTCCATTGGCAGCAAGGTGAATGATTTTGTCTCCCTTCTTGGTTTTGAAACTCAAGTTGAAAGGCATGTCGGCAGATCTGTTCGACGGATCAACAATGGCAAGACGAGTGTGTCCCATGGACCAACGGGCCAGAGTCTCTCCCTCACCAACAGTACCAGCACTAACTTGCATACCATCTGGACCACGGTGGTGAAGGATCTTGGAGGTGGTGTTCATAGTTTCTTTTCCCAAGATGGCAATATCACTTCGAGCGCTGGAAGTCTTGCCCCAGACATCATCAATGGCAGCAACAAGACCGCACATCTCTCTTCTGAGAGCGCCCGAAGCGCCAGTGTTGACCTTCAATTGGTTTGCAGCATGGCGCTTGCAAAGGGTGGCTGCACCTTGGCGGATCATTGTCTTTCTTCCTGCCTGTATTTTCAAAGAAATGAAACAAATGGATTCGATTTCAAGATGATTGGATGGTGAAAATTGATGTCAACCTGGGAAGACGGCTGGCGCGCAATGTCTTCTTGAAGTTTGCCTCTTCTGCACTTTCATGGCTCTTTTCTTTTATTGTTCTGCTATATGATTGCACTGGAATCATATTTTAGTCCTACCACCTACCATGTAATATAATATTATTATATTGTTTCATAGGATTATTTGAATTGGTCATGTTATTCTCGCAGAGATTGTGCCCTTTTGAAGGTAGTAATAAGAGGTCCAAAGCTCTTACCCTGTTTTATCCAGACATGATTTCACTTGGCGAGTTTGTAGGCGTTTGCTGTGACTGACAAGAAGAAGTACTATATTAAATACCTTTCCAAAACATGGTTTCTAGGTTGACTTGAGATCTTGCTTGAACAAGATCCAACGCAGTTTCAAAACATTATTTTATTCTCAATTGCTCTGCAGCAACGTTTTTCATCATCTTTTTTAGATTGGAACCCAACTCATCGGCCACTGCCTTCAATAGATCGGCATCAGCAAGTCCTTGTGGTTCTAACTCCTTCTTGATCCCATTGACTACTTGATCAAAAAGTTCGGGCTCGACATCCAACTCTTGCATAACCTTCTTAAGTCTATCCAAAACTGGTGCCGCTTCTCCACCTTGGGCTTGCGCCTTGTTAAAATCATCAATACTCTTCAGTTTCGCTCCCTCGCTCGCTTGCTCTCGCAAATCAGTTCCTCCCAAGAATAGCTTTTGTCCGTCTTCCTTGACATCAGTGCACTTCCCCGTCATACATCCGGGAATTCGTTGAAACTCCTCCCAATCATATGCCTGTAGTTTGAGTTTGCGATGGAATAATTGAGTGAGAAACGGCAGATGCTCCACGAAAGTATAATGAAATGGTGCCTATCGTTCCTATCGTTCAAACGCCCAACATACCTTTTTCTTAGGACAACAAGCCCAATACTTTGCGGTTTCGTGAAAGACTGTTCAAGAATGAATCAAGAAAAAATGTGAGAGAGGGTCAAACTGGCAAAGGTCGTTTTACTGGACACCACCAAATCAAACTGACCTGGAGGCAATCTATGGTATTGGCAATCTGGAACTGGTCCTTCTTTCCTAAAACGATTGGAGCATCCAAAACGTGTGCACGACACGGTATTTTTCAACAAATCTTCTTGCTCTTTACGGACCGCCTTTTCTTCCGCTTCCATGTCACCCTTGGTCTTGCTAGCACCGTGACAAATGTAGACATCTCCCCTATCAGGAATTTCGTCAATGACCACATCATCACTGCAAAGTGCCACCAGCTCACTCTTTTCGGATCGTTCAATGACCTTTCGCAAGCTCAAGTGCATGTTTTCAACTGAGAGTGGATTGGTCTCTTCGAACTTGGCATTGTAGGATTCGACGAATTGAGAGAGCAGATTGGAGGCTGGACCACTTTTCCAGCTCTTTGGTAGTGTGATCTTTAAAGTCTTGTGGTAATCGGCATTGTCATTGTCTTCGTAATGCAGGAAGACCTTCATTATGTCGTTGCAGTCCTACCGGTAGGAGTTGCGAGAAAACCGTTGAATGAATCAAGATCATGAATGCGTGAATCATGAATGAATGAATTAGGAAACACTATTTTAGGGTGTCTGTCCTCCGTCAAACAGCTTGGGGGGAATTTCGATCGAAATTCCATAGCAATCTGTGGATCTGGTGGATGCCAGTACTGTTGCCGTACGTTTCTACGGAAAGCACGGCTCGGACCCAACTCGTGCATCAATTTTGGCATTGTTGTTTGTGGTCTCATAATTTGATTATCATACCGATTGACAAGATGGTGAGTGCTGATACGATTGATAGACTGCAATAGAAGGCTGCCCGTGATCCCAATGCCATTGCTTTGGCAATGGTGGAGAATGCCTGGCGATTCAATGAATGCAATCAATCCAATCAAAGCAACAAACGTTTGACGGACATTTTCTCACTTGAAATCCTTTTTTGTCTTTGACAGAGTGAATCCGAAAGCTATGCCTTCTCTGCTGATATCAACCAGCTTTTGTCGTTGATTATCAACACCTTCTACTCCAACAAGGAGATCTTTCTTCGCGAGTTGGTTTCCAACGCCAGTGATGCCCTGGACAAGATCCGTTACCAATCTTTGACCGACAGCAGCGTCTTGGATGCGGAACCTGAACTTCACATCAAGCTTGTCGCCGATAAGGCCAACAACACACTTACCATTGAGGATTCCGGTATTGGTATGACCAAGGCCGATTTGGTCAACAACCTTGGTACCATCGCCAAGTCCGGAACCAAGGCCTTCATGGAGGCTCTTTCCGCTGGTGCCGACATTAGTATGATTGGTCAATTCGGTGTGGGTTTCTACTCTGCCTATCTCGTCGCTGATAGAGTTGAAGTCATCTCCAAACACAACGACGATGAATGCTACATTTGGAGTTCTGAGGCTGGTGGTTCTTTCACCATCACTGAAGCCAAGGACTCGGGAATCAACCGTGGAACCAGAATCATTCTTCACCTCAAGGAAGACATGTCTGAATACCTTGAAGAGAAGCGCGTCAAGGACTTGATCAAGAAGCACTCTGAATTTATTGGCTTCCCTATCAAGCTTTACACAGAAAAGACCACCGAAAAGGAAGTCACCGATGATGATGACGATGACGAGGATGAGGAAGGCGACGACGACAAGCCAAAGGTAGAGGAAGTCGACGAGGAGGAAACCAAGAAGGAAAAGAAGACCAAGAAGATCAAGGAGGTCAGCCACGAATGGGAGCACTTGAATAACACCAAGCCCATCTGGATGCGCAAACCCGACGAAGTTACCCAAGACGAATATGTTGCTTTCTACAAATCCATCTCCAACGACTGGGAAGAGCATGCTGCCGTCAAGCACTTCTCCGTTGAGGGACAATTGGAATTCAAGGCTATCCTCTTCTGCCCCAAGCGTGCTCCATTCGATATGTTCGACGGAGGCAACAAGAAGAAGCACAACTTCATCAAGTTGTACGTCCGACGTGTCTTCATCATGGACAACTGCGAGGACATTATGCCCGAGTGGTTGCAATTCGTCAAGGGTGTGGTCGACTCTGAGGATCTTCCACTGAACATTTCGCGTGAAACCCTTCAACAGAACAAGATTCTTCGTGTCATCAAGAAGAACCTTGTCAAGAAGTGTATCGAGATGTTCAACGATCTCACCGAGAACGAAGATGCCTACAAGAAGTTCTACGAAGCTTTCTCCAAGAACATGAAGCTTGGTATCCATGAAGACTCCACCAACCGAGCCAAGATTGCCAAGTTGTTGCGTTACCACTCCACCAAGGCTGGTGATGAGATGACCAGTCTTGAGGACTATGTCAGTCGCATGGCCGATGACCAACCTGGAATCTACTACATCACTGGAGAGTCCAAGCGCTCTGTTGAGACTTCTCCGTTCCTCGAGAAGCTAAAGAAGAAGGGATACGAAGTTTTGTTCATGGTTGACCCCATTGATGAGTACGCTGTCCAACAACTGAAGGAATTCGATGGAAAGAAGCTTCTTGCTGCTACGAAGGAAGGACTTGATATCAATGAAGATGAAGCTGAGAAGGCTGCCTTTGAAGAGGCCAAGGCCAAGACCGAATCTCTATGCAAGCTCATGAAGGAAGTCTTGGAAGATAAGGTTGAGAAGGTCGTTGTTTCCAACCGTCTGGCCGATTCCCCATGCGTTCTTGTAACTGGCGAATATGGATGGTCCGCCAACATGGAACGTATCATGAAGGCCCAGGCACTTCGTGATGCCACCCAATCTGCCTACATGATGTCGAAGAAGACTATGGAAGTCAACCCCACAAATTCCATCATTACGGCTCTTCGTGAGAAGGCCGATGCTGACCAAAGCGACAAGACAGTCAAGGATCTAATCTGGCTTCTCTACGATACTTCCCTACTCACATCTGGTTTCTCGTTGGAGGAGCCCGCCACTTTTGCTTCTCGCATCCACCGTCTCGTCAAACTTGGTTTGTCCATTGATGATGACGATGATGATGCTGCCGACAATGACATGGATGACTTGCCTCCTCTTGACGATGATGACGACAACGAAGAGTCTGCCATGGAACAAGTTGACTAAGCGAAATGTCCATGACCTATAGAAATTGTAACTTTTACGCCATTGTTCATACCACACCTCCTCGTCGTTTTTATTATTGCATATGATCAACTGTTAACAAGGAGAAATCTGTTATATCCCCTAATGCTTCTCTCCTTATATACTATCATCCGTGTTGGTGCATCCATAGCGTTTGGTGTGCCAAGATATCACGCATTGTTGTCCGGATTGGCATCTCATGCGAGAGACCTTGTTCGGCGGTGAAGGAAGTTCTATTTTCTGCCGATGCCAACACTTGAATCATCAATAACACCTTTGATGAAAAATGATTTCGATATTCATACCACACGTGGTTGTACTAGGTACACCGACCCTGATCATGAATCAGATCGACTGCAATGCCGACGGGCTGAAAGTCCGCAGGGGGGCAAGGACCGTACGCCGTCCGTCTATCAAACCTCCCTGGTCATTTTCCCAAAAAAAAATTGGAAAGTCGACGACAATACTTGCGGAAGTTGGCATCGTACTTTCAATAGGTATACTGCTTAGTTGCGAAAGCAAACCTCACAATCGGCCAACATGGTTCAAATGACCCTGCAAGACCAGGCAGTCATCAAAGCTTTGCCCGGAAACGACACTTGCAGTGATTGTCACGGCAAAAACCCGGAATGGGCAAGCGTCAGTTTTGGGAACGTTTTTTGCCTCGATTGCAGTGGAGTTCATCGGTAAGTTACCCGTTCGCTTGATCGATCGAATCTGAAATCAATTGATTCATTCGGTAAATTTCTGGGGGAAATACAGGTCATTGGGAGTGCACATTTCGTTCGTCCGATCGATTAGAATGGATTCCTGGGCACCGAAGCAACTTGAACTTATGAGAGCCGGTGGAAATGACAAGTTGAACGCATACCTGAAGTCGAAGAACATTCAGAAAACAACACCAATTAGGCAAAAGTATGAGAATGATCACGCACAATTGTACAAGGAAATTTTGAAAGCACGTGTGGAAGGAAGACCAGAACCAACATCTCTTCCTAAAAAGACCACGTCGGCTCCTTCCTCGATGAATCGCCCGATGGGTGCAGTCGGTAGCAGCATGGGTGGTGGTGGTGCCCAAGATGCGAATGGTATGGAAAGGCTAGCAGGAGAAACTGAACAGCAGTATGTTGCGCGACAAACGAGACTTCGTGACGATGCTCGTGAAAGGATGAAAGCGAAGTTTGGAGGTGGAGGTATGGGAGGAGTCGGTAGCAGTGGAATGCAGGGAATTGGAAGCAATCCCAATTACAATCGAAATGGAGGAGGTTATGACCTGGATAATGTGGTTTCGGGAGTTTCCTCGGCATTTTCCGCTGGTCTTTCGTTGGTGGGGGGTGTTGCTGGTGCAGCTGTCAACACTGTCAATAGTGATAGTATTTCGTCCGTGCGAGGGTCCGTTTCCACCGTGGGAGGAAGTTTCTGGAGCAGTTTAAGTACGGGTATCAGCCAAGTGGCAGATACCATCACAGCTCCCGATGGAAATGACGGTCTCGCTGATCTGCAACAACAATTCTCATCGAACCGTCCTACCCAGAGCAAGTACAGCGGATTTGGATCTGATAGTTCTAGAAATGGAAACAGCGGTGGTTTCAATGGTGGGCAGAATTTCAATAGCAGTGGGGCTGCCAAACCCACCATGAGCAGAATTCCTCCTTCCAACGGATCAAATCCTCTTGGTCAAGCACCTGGAATGCCAGGAGAAGATCCCAATGGTATGGAAAGATTGACAGGAGAATCAGACGAACAGTACGTTGCAAGGCAAACGAGAATTCGCGACGAAGCCAAAGCGCGCATGGCCGCCAAATTTGGAGGCGGGGGGTTGAGTTCTGCGTCATCGTCATCCAATTATCCTGCCAGCTCAGGGACCAATTTCGCAGCTCCTAGCTCCAGGCCCAACTCATCTGCTTCGCCTGCTCCTCGTTCTGGCGGTTTTGGCGCTGCCACTCCACCGAGGAAAATGTCTGCCGATAAGTTGAGCTCGGATGATTTCTTTGCTTCATTTGGAACCTAAAATGAGTTGTTGGAGTACCAATCAAGTGGTTATATGGCAATGATTAAAATAACAAATACAATAGGATACGAATTTCATATCTTCTAATGCAGAGAGTTCCTCAAATTATCGTATTGAGATTTCTGTGCAATACAATACGGTACGAATTGCATGTCTTTTAACTTCTAATGCAGTTACTCAAATTGAAATTATAATTGGTATAAGTTTACGGTACCGATTCCAAAAAGTTTTACAGCGAGCCGCTTTTCTACGAGGTGCGCCGTAATAAACGTACACAAAAAACGTGCATCCCCACGGGCGCATGGTACTTTCGGATCTTGGAAGATTCGCTCCCGCCGGGAAGGTTTCTGGTGAGGGTATAAGTTGTAACAGTTGAGAATTTTATTCTTATGCGTTATACTGTAACTATTATGGACTGTCTGTCCGTCTGTGCCATTGAATTGGGTGACAAAAGCAAAAACAACACCGTCAATGATTTTTTTGCCATAATAATAGTACTGTATGTTTGTAGCACCAATTTGTTTGGCAATTCACAACTGCTAGACAGCGATTCTATCCAAAACGGCGCTTGTCTGTGCCCTGCCTGCGCATAGGAAGTCTATAATAATAATAATAATAATAACAATAATAACAATAATAACAGTAATAACAATAATAACAATAATAACAATAATAACAATAATAACAACAATAACAAGAATAACAAGAATAATAATAATAATAATAATAATAATAATAATAATAATAATAATAATAATAATAATAATAATAATAATAATAATAATAATAATAATAATAATAATAATAATAATAATAATAATAATAATAATAATA